GATTCAAAAACGACTTACAGGCGTTTAAGAAGAGCATTAATATTCGGCCAATCTGTACCTTAATTAAAAATTTGAAGTTAACACTAATTAAAAATTCAGTCTGTGGTTTTCTAATAGGTTTTTAAATACTGCATCGACCAATCTAAACATACAGCAGATGACCTGTCGACGTCGATCAGCCTGAAACAGAAGTAGCTCACATTACCACGCCTCTAAGAATGCTGGACTGACCCAATAAATCCCCTGCTATCAGGCGTTTTATGACAGGTACGGAAGCAATCCGCATTGCGGCATACTGATACAACATACTGATACTGATACAACATGCGGCATACTGATACAGTGTCCGCAATGCGGCATACTGATACAACAACATTAGCGATTAACCTTATAATACTTAAAGATTTTTTGAAACATTAACGCTAAGACGTCTGCAAATTTTCATAAATTAAAACTGTTTAAATACGACAGCTGTACGCTATATTCAACTTTGTCATTTACTATTCGAAAGTTTGTTCTGATTGGAATGTCAGTTTTCTGAACGTTTCCATGCAGGATGAACTCTTTTGCGCTCTTGTTTCAAGGGGCTTATCATGTTAGCCACATCCCTTTATTTCATTGTTCTCATGCGAAGAGAGTGGGTAAAACTGATAAGTACAGCGAATACTTTCCTTCTTCTGCAAACATAACAAAACTCATTTTGGGCCTGAGATGGATAAAAAAGAAAACCCCTTTGGAGGACTAAACTAGCGAAATTTTGACTGCGAGTTCGTTACGCAACTAATCGAGTTCCCCATATATTCACTCCAAACCTGGGTGTTTCACAAAAAGATTAAAGAAACGAAAAAACAGATTTTATGACACTTTTTGCCACTGGATGATACTAACACCATGTAGAGTAGAGCAGCTAAATTTAATACGTCATAACTCAGCTTAGTACATTAACATTTACAAGATTTACATTATTCTCGGATAAAATCTAAAAACCGTACAAAGACCTTACATCTCTGCATCTGTTTGGCGTATTCGGGCATGTTTTCTGGTCGGATGCTTCGCAGAAACATGATGTAATCATCGCTATGATACCTCGTGATATCGTCATAACGTGCTTTTTGAGGACGCTATAATGAAAGAAGCATGACATCAAATAGAAACGACCCAGCGCGATTTACTGCCTAATGGACCTATGACACTGTAGAGGAAAAATGTAACCTAAAAAGAGAATACATCGCAAATTCAATGAACAAAACAACAGAAGAACAACAAACGTCATAACCAAAGACACAAAGCACTTAAACACGGGAATCTGCCTAAAAATGAAATCGATATACATTTTACAGGCAACATAATCTGCTGAAAGAAGAAAGTTGAATGATCCAGCACCTTTTACACCAGAACAGACTGAATGTTTCACATTAAAAAGTTATACGAGCATGTTTCAAAAAAAAATTACTCGCTTTTACCACAATCGAATGCTAACGTTTACATCGTGATTGCATACATTCACCGACTTAACTTAATGACAGATGAAGCTGTGGATCAGGGCAGTGAAAGCCAAAAGTAGACAAATAAGACACTGCGAATACTGTATGGTAAAATGATAATAGTAAAATTTTCTGTTAGTGAAAGCAAAAACTTTTACATTATATTATAAACAAGCACTCTGCCTACCTTCTGAAATTTACTTAGGTAATATAGTACCTTAGCATTTTAGCCACAGTTACTTTCAAGAAATAAACGCCGTCATTTCTGCTGTTTTAAAAGCAATCTAGGAAGTAACCAACTTTCCGATAGATTACACTTCAGTATGCACACGCTGTAAAATATGTATCTTTTGGCACTTGAAATCTTGATCTCGTTCGAAGGATAAAGCTAGTGAGGCAGGTTTAGTACCATCAAGGCGCATCGCTATCCGAGTTTATGCCATAATGTGTACTGCCCGCTTGCTCCTAAAAGCCTTAAGAAAATTTAAGTAAACTAAGTTATATGGCATTAGAACAACAACAGAAACTGCAGTCGACGTCAGTAGAGCAATGTAACGCTCGACCACCACTGATAATTGGTAGAAGTGCCTAATCAAAATCCAACTGCCAGTATGATCTGTAAGGAATTATCCAAATCCGAACAGTAATCTGTACCGGGGTCTAGGATCACGGTGACACAAATTGAGGAATTGAAGTTCTGCTTTGAGGAATTACTGAACTCCCTATACTGGGAAAAAAGATCCATTCGTAGAAATCGGCGATTCAGCCAAACGAATAAGGCAGCAATAATTAACTAAGTTATTGAAAAAATCACAGTTTTTAATAAATTTTCATATCCTTCAATTTGAAGCAGTGTATCAAAACAGTTCTTTCACTGACAGCGCAAAGAATTGGTCTATCTATTGATCAATATCGATATTTCGCCCTGCATCTCAAAATCATAACTTCAAGTAAAAACTGTTCAGGATTTCCGACTGCTACTGAGTCGTCTGTAGCAGCGGGTTTGTTTTAACCCGAAAGCAGTTTCAAAACGAACTCTCTGTTGCAGCCTGCTTCTACAGAAATTGAAAATTTTTACTCTTACGTGGATGAAGCCGGAATATTGATAGATCCATGTTCCGAAAGACCATTCCCTTGCCCTGTATATTACTAAACCGTCGCTATGTTGTATTTCAACATGCCTACCAGTGCACAAGAAAAATCAGTCCAGATCGCATATCACTCATCTTGACATCAGGATCAGAACTACACCATTTCAAACGGCACAATCCGACAGCAATAAAACCGAACATTTACAGCAGAAACGCAGTAACGATACAAGCACACGCAATAAATCAACCTTTCAGCATAATTAATCATACGCTTATGAAAACTCAATATGATAGGAGCTGCGACCACTACCAGTGCAAAAGCGGTGCAACAGAAATGACGTGCAAAGCCATCGTCCAACAAAGCGACAAACACTGACAAGAAAAAGCTTTGTTGTACAACTTGCTATAAACTTCGCTAAATAATATTAAAAATTTACGTAGATCTCCATTTTCCGATACATTCCATAATTTAAAATTAAGTTGTGCGCCATTCTAATGCGATGGGGTTTCATTGGGTGGCCCTGGCCGTAATAGTAGTTACCGACATCACCTACAAACAAACAGACTACACCAAGAATACAAGTAATGAAATACACGTACTGTCATAATAGTAGCAGATCTTCTTCCGTGAGTGAGGGGTAGACATCATACGACGAACAACTAACAACAAACAATTTGAGAACACAGTACCCTAAACCAAATCTTTTCGGTAACTGTGACTTACTCTGATACGCCAGAAATGCAATTGCTCCTGATTATCTTTACTGCTGTACACAGTGCTAAACAAAGGAAATGCAGCGAATAACATTTTGCTTAAAGCACAGTAAGTTACTGTCGTTAATATTGCAATAAATATGCGGATAATTAAAAGTAAAAAATCTCGCTAAATAGAATTATATTGAACTCATCTACTGCCCTCCTTCAAACCCCGAAAAGGAAGGATTCGGAGCCGTGGCGAGACATCTGGTAAAACCATTTGCTCGTGGCATCCCCGTTGTCGAATCCATAGTTACCAAAGGCTGCAAAATCTGCAGAAATTCAGCAATCAAAACCTGCTTCTTGCCTTCTGGCAGTCGAAAACGTAGGACCACTGCAGCAGCTCTAAAGGATCGTCAAAGATAGGTTCAGCAACGGATCTCAAACTTATTTTAAATGAGGAAGCAGACGAAGCAATGCTAATATGACACGTCAGATGAATTCCGCGAGAACGATGCCGACAGTGGGAGCTCAAAATCAAAAATTTGGAACATCCCTCCACTCGGAGGGAAAGAGGAGCTAGTTGATAAGGGCAGCAAGATAACGACTGAAGATAGTAGGACACTCCTCAACAGAATTCCGAGCCTCTAATGTGCAATTATTCTACTCAGGTGTTGAAATGATGAAGCGTGCACATGCAGATGTTCATGTTCCGGAAGAACCGAACTTTGCAAACAGAACCATTCAATGGAAGCTTCTAAACATCAAATTGACAGTCATCTTGCTGATTAGGCTAGGATTCTGATCTTATTACAGGTCTGTGCACTCAATTTTCAGGAAGAATATGAGTCTATCATGGAGGAAGTAAGGAATGCTCATTTAGAAGTGTTAATAACGTATCCGTTATTCCAATATGCATCACCATTGCACATCTAAGAGCAGGGAATGAAAAATAAACGCGTGAATAGAAAAAACGATCTTTGTGACTTCGACAATAACGGCTTTACGGTTTTGAGCCTAGAATGGACAATCTGTTATGAACACCTTCTTTCAGCATCGAAGCGTACATCAGTATACTCGTACTATATGGGAAGCTCGTACCAAGAAGTCGATTATCGGTTTGACAATTATATCGAATAAACTATGATGCTTTTTACTGCATGCTCGTTTTAAGAGAAGCGCAGAGATGTTAATCGATCTCGTATCTCGTTGCCACCCTCCGCCGTAAATTGGAACAAATTCTCCCTCAGAGGGAAAGAGCATGAGCTAACCGATAAGGCCGTAAGGTACCAGCTGGACTTATTTGGACTCTGATCAACGAACTGCCAAGGAGGTTCGTGAATCCTGAACCACTGCGGCTTGCAGCCATTCTACTCTGGTGTCAACATCACAACATGTGCTAAGGTCGTTGTTGGTGTTCTGATGGAATCATTGATTGGAAGCCTGTCCCCGGAAAGGTGGCAATCCTCCGACTGAAGCAACAAAGGCTTAAGTGTTGACTCTGCTACAGGTCTACGCGCCTAATTTAGAGAGAGATTATTCCTTCCTTGAGGAAGTGCAGTGTGCTCTTTGAGAAGTTCAGAAGTCGAAGTCATCGGCGATTTTTGTGCACATGTCGGAATAGACGTTGAAAACTGGAAAGGCATGATTGGAAAGAACGATCTTGGTGTCCTCAATAGTAGCGGATAAAACAGGTCTTCAGGTTTTTGATTCTGAGCTCATAGTTATATACATGATTGTTTGAACTATTTATGGTTTGGGACAACAAATACAACAGATGGTAAACAATTTAATACCACCGCGTTTCACTGCACTGACTGCAATATCATCAGGGCTGAAATGAGTACGAGTGTCTGTTTGTTAAATTTATGTCCAATAAGCGAACAATGCCAATTTTTCAGTTGGCTCGTCACACACAGTCAAAACGTTGTTAAACTGTCTGAACAAAGCATAATATTTACATGAAAATAAATCGTATCTTTGTCATTTTAACCCGATCTTGCGCAGCAGTTTCGTGATTGCGCCCCGATTTTCAGTGTTAGCAACAGAAGACATGTTGCACACCCGACTATTCAAGGACGTTCATTCAGTCAGAAGAATGTGTCTGTTATGGACAAAGAACTATCTAAATTTGGCCTGCTGATAAAGGAGTCCTTGCATATACTGGCAATAAAAAACCGAATGTGTAAAAAATGCAGGTAATCTGTTGTCACCAATGAAAGCTGGAGCGCAACCACAAAACTGATGGGCAAATTCGGGTCAAAGTGACAAAGTGTCGATTTATTTTAATATGACAATGTAACTCCGCCATGGCCGGTCCCAAGCCCGGATGAGAAAGGAGGAGGGTTGGAGACCGTGGCAAGTC